TGACACTGGCCAGAATCCTTTTGCTTAGGACTGTAAATCACAGTCGAGTAAGCCCATTGCATCAATGAGAGTCAACTCCTCCATAATTGGATTGACGTAAATGGGCCTCCTCTAACTGCGATTTAAGGTGCTACGGCCCGGCCCCTTTGAACCAAGGGAACTGACAGAGGAGCTGACCCACCAAATCCCCATTGACTCAACGGGCCGACTCGGTTGAGAGAAACCGGCTCCATACTGATAATTGTGCCAACAATTATTCGCTGTTTTCTGGCTTCTGGCAGAGCCGGAAAGGACCCCGTGGGATCATCCAGTCCAGCCCCTCTCAAGGAGGCGCCGTGGGGGAATCAAACTCCCAACCTTGGGCTCCACAGCTCTAGAGACCTCAACCCCTGAGCTCTACAGATCCTGGCCCTCCTCACGAGGACAAAGAGCCAAGAAGTGGTCGCTCCATCAGGCAAAAAAGCAGCCTCGAGAAGGGGCCTCTTCCTCGGGCTTCACCACATCTGACGTTAGTCTCCACCAGCTGCTCTTCCAGTTGCCGTTTTCAGTTGGGTAGGTCGGATGACAATGTGGTGTAGTGGCTAGAGGGGTAGGCTAAGATTCAGAAATTGTGGGTTCAAATCCCCGCTTGGCCACGGAACGTCTTGAGCCCGTTGCAGAATCTCAGCCCACCCTACCTTGCAGGATCCTTGCGAGGATAAAAGAGGGGAGAGGAAAGAGGGTGTTTCATTGGAAAAAATCGGTGGCGTGTAATTTCAAAATAAATTTTAAGAATCTGACCTCAAAAGTGTTAATCCTCTATATAGTCAAAGATGGTGGGTAATCATCTCCTTGCAAAGACAAGTGATCTGAAGGCTTCCCAGAAAAATGGCATTAATCTCTTTTCATATCCAAGGCTTCTGCATTATCCTTGTGGAAGCGGTAAGAAGAGCTAAAGGAAAGATCATCTTACTCTACATTGATGCGACAGAGTTGTTTTGTTGGTATAAACTCTGGAGCAAAGGGAGGGAACAGGGAATTAAACACTTTTCTAAATTCTAAATTCTTTGTTCTCAGTTTAGGCTGTTGAGGTTTTTGAAACCTTGCATGCTGCTTTTAGTAGGTTTGGCTGGGAGGGTTTCCCTTTCTGGGCTGGGGTGACTGTCAATCTATCCAGCAGTAACCAATCATTCCTTCCCTGCCTCTGATTCAAAGAGAGCTCCGCCCTTGGGCTCTGAGAACTCTTTCCCTCTCTGTAGTTTCTTGAGGTCTGTTGTTGAAAGCAGTCGTGTTGGCATTTGGCTGTTTGATCTGTTCAGCTGTAAGTAAACTTTTATTCTTTCTTACTAATGTCTCAGATTCAGTTCCTGGGATTGTAAGTGCCCACTTAATGAGAAAAGGGGAAATCTGAAGCTACTTTGTTCTATGAATCTCTGCACTTCTGTTGTGCAGCTAGAAGAACATAACCAAACATTCAAAAGGCTGCTACATAAGCTGTCTCAGCTAAGTGAAATTTTCCATGCCTGTGAAGTTACTCACCTTCATGTGAAATTGTGAGACAATGAGCACTAATTTTTCTCATCAAAAATTCTCCTTAATCTGTGCAAGCTGCTTCTGTCTAAAACTGGTACTCTTTGCCTTCGAGAAGCAGAGTGTGTGTGCACACAAACAGACAGAGAGATGCAGATGCACACACAGCAAACCTCAAAGGACTGGCCAGTTGTTAAAACAAGCTCCCCGCCCCCTTTCCATGCTTCTTGATTCTTAAAAAGCCAGATAATAAAGCCGCAGCCATTTGGGATTATTTGTGTTAAATAATTTGCATTCTTTGCTGATACGGAAAAGAGCCAGTGGTTTAGTTAGTGGGCTGAACTATCCAATTCAATGAAGGTTGTGTTGGAGGGAGAAAATTTTAACAGATACTATTGATGTAAAATTTAAACTAGCTTAAGCTAGTTTTGTTGCTGCTGTTAACATGCTGTCAAGTCATTTTCAATTTATGTTGACCCGATGAATTAGTGAATGCCAAAAATCCCTGATTGAGTCTTGCAAAGTTGCACCCATGGCTTCTTTGATTGAGTTAATCCATCTCATCTTCAGTCTTCCTCTTTTCCCGCTGCCTCCAGCTTTTCCCGCATCATGACCTTTTCCAGTGAATTTAGCCTTCTCATAACACATCCAAAGTTTGACAGTCTCAGTTTATTCGTTATTGTTTCTAGAGAAAGTTCAAGCTTCTCTTTTTGTTTTCCTGGATATTCATTTACAGTGGTGCCTCGCTTGACGACGTTAATTCGTTACAGCGAAATCGCTGTAGAGTGAAAACATTGTCAAACGAAATAAAAAAACCCATTGAAACGCACTGAAAACCGTTCAATGCGTTCCAATGGGCTGAATACCTGCTCGTCCAGCAAAGATCCTCCATAGGGGTGGTCATTTTCGGTGCCTGTAGTGCGAAAAATCACTCCTAAAAACAGCGGGGGGCCATTTTCTTCAGCCAGCGGCCATTTTGAAACCCAACGATCAGCTGTTTGTTGATCGTCGTAAAGCAAAAATCGGTTCCCAAAGCAGGGAACCGATCATCACATAGCGAAAAAAACCCATTTACACCATCGTTTTGCGATCGCAAAAGCGATCTCAAAAACATCAACATTAAGTGGATTCATCGTTAAACGGGGTAATCGTCCAGCGGGGCACGACTGTATTTGTTTCCCTCTACTTGGAAGAACAGATCCTAAAGCGGAGGCTCCAATACTTTGGGCATCTCATGAGAAGAGAAGACTCCCTGGAAAAGACACTGATGTTGGGAAAGT